AACAAAAAAACAACCCAACCAAAAAAAGCTTCAACTAAAAAACAGGCATTGGCTTGAATAGACATTTGTTCTATGGAGATAAGAAATGGCCAGCAAGTATAACTTTATTCATTAAGGAAACGCAAATCAAAATCACAATGAGTGACCACTTTGTACCCCTTAATGTGGCTACAATAAAATAAACTGAAAGATAGAGTTGGTGAGCATATGAAGAAACTGAAACTTTTACATTGCTGACAAATATGTAAAATGGTGCAGTCACTGTGGAAAATGGCTGACATTCCTCAAAAAAAAAAAAAATGAAGCTTGGAGGTAGCACACAGCCCAATAATTCCCATCCTGCTTTATGGTACATACTCAAAAAGAATTGAAAATGGATTTCCAAATACTTGCACTTGAGTGTTCTTAACAGCAACATTCAGAATAAAGAAAAAATAGAAATTGCCCAAATGTCCATCATCAGATTGAATGGATAAAGAAATTACGACACATAAATAGAAGAGTATTCAGCCATAAGGAGGAACAAATTATAAGATGCTACAATGGGAATGAACCTCAGAAACATTAATGTTAAATGAAAGGAGCCAAACACAAAAGGATACCTATTACATGACTCTATTAATATGAAACATCCACAATAGGTGAATACTACACAGAGACAGATGCAGATTGATAGTTGGTAGCAAGGGAGCTGGGGGTGTTGGGGGAGGAGGAAGAGGAGGGCATGACTGTTCAATGCCTGTGAGGTTTCCTTTTGTGGTGATGGAAATGTTTTTGGAATCGCATAGAGTTGATGGTTGCACAACATTGTGTATGTACTGAAGGATACTGAAGTAAACAATTTTAAAGTTATTTTATGTTGTACAAAATTTACCCCAATAAAATGGATATTGTTATTTCCCTATTTCTCTGAATGTCCAAGCTTATTTTCTTGAGTAAACAGAATTTTTACATCCATATTAATAATAGTGATAACAAATTGGTTTAATAAGCTCTTGCAATGTACAGAGAGCAGTGATTTATGAATTTCTTGTATACCATATGATTTAAGCCTCACAGCAGCAATCCTTGGCACATAGGTATTAAGCCAGCATTTGTGGTATGAATGGACAGCCATATCAGCAAGACAGCCATAAGGCGACTGAAATTGATGTTAACTTGCTCCAGGCCTCCTGAATACAAACTGGAAGAAGTCAAACTCTAATAATTATAGGACAAAAATATCATTTTTGGTCATCTCTATGTGATATTAAGGAGAAGGACACCTAGTATGATCCCCAAGGGAAAAAAAAGTTAGGTTCATGGCATTATGTTTTGAGTTTTATTGAAATTCAAATCTGCTGATCTGGTTGTACTAGAATAGCAATAGTTTTGGTATCAGGCATCTTTGACTTGTAGTTCTCTACTATTTACTAGCTGTTAGACCTTAGGAAATTTGAATTAACCTTTTTAAAATGAAGGTTGCTTATTAACTAAGACTGTAAATGAAGACTGTGGATTGGGAGAGTGAAGCCAGAACTAGAAGTCAAGGCTGCTTTATTTTCCTGATTTTTGAATAACGTAAGTGGGGCAAAATGTTAAGAAAGCATGTATGGGACAAATAAAATAGATCTATAGGCTACATATGGCCTGCAAGGCACAATTTTTGACCTCTGTGTTAGCAGAGAAGAGACAGGGTGTTAGTACAGTGGTTCACAGTATGGGCAATGGAGAAATGCTGTCTGAATATATATTTCTTTGGTCACATACTAGTTCTGTGATCCTAGGAAAACTACCTACGCACCTCAGTTTGCTTGCCTACAACCTGGGCAAAATGATCGTATATACCTCTTAAGCTTGACTCTCTGCCATTTTCATTACCTACAATGTCAGAACACACTTAAAATAGCAGAATGATGGACTTGTGACTGTTTATGAAGGACTATACTATTATAATAATATAGGGGGAATTAGTGGGGAGAGGGGATTTAGGCAAGAGGGAAGAGAAATCCTAGAGCCTATGAAACTATACCATAAAATAAAAATGAAAGGAAAACAAAGATAAACACACAATAAAGATTGCTATGATAATTAAGTGTATGATCATGTGTCCACCTTGTGTGCATATGTGTGCACAGGTGTGTGTGTGTGTGTTAGTCACTTGCAAACAGTGCCTGGCATGTAGCCAATGCTTCGCAAGAATATCAAATAACTCCTGAGCTTCACCTTTCAGTTTTTAATAGTATGCAATTAAACAAAAATTTATAGAAAACAGATTATTTGCACTGATTCTAATGTGGTCTTTATACTAGTTTTCTGATCTGTGCTTCTGTTTACACATCTTCACAAAGGGGATATGTGTCTCGCATGGTTATTGTTAGGAATCAGTAAGTCAAAAGAGGGTGAATATGTGTATAGCACCTAAAATCTGGTACAGAAAAAGCACTATATAAGTATCAATATTTTTATCATTAATATTTTTTTAAGTGGCAAAGTTGATGTAAGTACTGAAAAATTCCAAAGTATGTTTAATAGTACTTACTATATGACACTGATCCTAGGAGAAATGTCCATTTTATAATAATGGAATTGAATGTTTGACCTTTCAATTATTCAAAAAAAAGTCAAAATGATGATGTCTGAGAAGAGGAAAATTTCCAAGTCATTACATATCTGCCTAACATACCTTAATACTAGATTAAAATTAAAATGAAAACTAGGTAAACCTATCACCTAAAGAGTCAACTAATGAAATTTATTATTAAGAGCTCCTTCTCATTACCCATAACAACTTGAAGAAGGAAGCAAAGAAAATTTAAACTATTGAAAGAAGCTGTCATCTCTTGCCTCTATAGTTCATCTCAATCTACATGGGAATTGATTATTCCTTTGTATAATACGTAAGGGAAGGAGGTTGAGGATTGAGCCCATCAGTTAAGATGCCTGTATCTTACATGAGTGTCTGGGTTTGACTTCTGGCCACCACTCTTGACTCCAGCTTTCCCACCAGTGCAAACCCTTGGAAGTAGTAGTGATGGTTCAAGTAATTTGGTTCCTGCCACCTACATTGGAAACCTGGATTGTCATCCCAGATCCTGGCTCTAATCCTGGCCGAGCCACTGCTGTTGCAGGCATTTTAGGCAGTGAACTAGGGGATGGGAGCTATGACTTGCCTCTCTCTCAAATAAGTAAAACATGATTTAAGAGGAAAAAGAATTTAAAGCATATGTATGAGAAGGAAGTGGGGTCAGGTCCTGAAGTTGGAAAAAATCTGAACCTCAGGTACAATTCATAACGTGAGAAGTCTGGTAGGAAGAAATGAAGGTCTCAGAGGGGCTTTGGAGTAACCAGTGGAGGTAATTAGAAGGCCTACTGTGAGGGTACTGGAACTATGCTGGAACCCCACACTAAATGAATAGGGAACATGGTAGGGGGTTGGCACTAGGAATATGCTATTGAAGTGCTAAGAAAATAGTGCAATTTCAGAGGAGATGGAGCCTCTTCAATGTGAGAAGATAAGTACAACAAGAGATTTCATTGGAGAGAAAAAGTGGGAGCTGTATTGTAAGGAGATAAGATTAAACACTGTTTGGAGATGAGAACATTACAACACTGTTAAAGATACAGAATCAGTAGGAATCCAAATGGGGGGAGGGGGATTTGGGGTTTGTACCAGGAAATATTGTGAAACTGTGAATTTGCAAGCACTTGATTGACTATGGGAATAATTTTATAAAAAGTAGAAGATGGGGCACTCTTTGGTATAACAGCATAGACTACAACTGAAGAACACTTAATTATAAATGGAGTGGTCTTAATAGAAGAAACAGGAAGTGATACTACCATTGGAAAATTTTACTACCCATGAAAAATAGGTAGGAAATACAAGATCCTAGTGGGAAAGGAAGGTGTTTTCCTAGTCTGAAAAGACACGGGACAAATGCAATCCTAAAGGGAAGCAAGAGAAATGAATAATAATAAGGAGCCCGATGTACAGAAAAGAGCCGAAGAGCACTATAGCAAGAGAGAAGTGGGCCTCCCAAAAACTGGTAACAGGAAGAATCATGACTACAAGGTAGTGGCCCTTTGAAGGGATATGAGTGAGATTGTGGAATGTTTTGGGCAGAGTAAAGAGGAACCTGTAGTGTGAGAAGCTAGGGGACAAAGGTAGAATGGTAACAAAAGCAGGGTCCCAGTATGAGGTGTCAGACAGTTAAAGTGGAGCCTCTAATGGAAGTGAATGGAATACTCCTCAAAGCAGGTAAGCAGGAGATTGGAGGGACCCAGTGTGATAAAATCAGGAGCTCCAGTGTGAGGGGAGAAGACCTTGAAATCGCTCCTCACACCTAAGAGAGGAGAAAATGGGAAAGGCCTGCACAGAGGGCTTACCACTACGTGCACTGGAGAGATGCCAAGTGGGATAGAGCTAGGTGTCCTGAGGGGTCTCAAGTGGGTAAGGACATAAAACACTGGAGTTAGTGTGAGAGACCCCAGTGTTGGGAGGAGGGAAGGAAAGCTTATAAGGCAGAGAGAGAATATTTGAGGATTTTAGCAGGGAATCCCCAGTGCAGAATCCTAGCGGGATTCTAGCAGCAGGAAAAACGGTGCGGCTCCTAGTTAAGCGCATTGGTGGGATTCGCAGTGTGAACAGTTGAAGGAGACAGGGTATGTAGTGTTCTCAGTTGGGTGGGATGGGGGGCCACCAGACCCAAAGCACAGACGCGAGTGGCTGCCTTGTTTGAGAAAAGGGGGTCCTAGTGAGAACAGCCAGGAAACTATTGTGGGTAGGGCAAGGAAATAAGAAACCGTAGGTGGGGGCGATTGTGACATGGCGGGACCCTCGTGGGCGAGCACAGGAGATAACGTGAAAAGGCAGACGCTGGGGACGGGGAGCTCCTCAGGGAGTGAAAGGAAAACCGCAGAGTGAGGGCTGAGAACACAGGGGACACCAGTGTGAAGGGTAGGGCAGACGATTATGCCGGAGCATAATTTCCCCACCTTAGGTGCCCAGCCCCACTTACCCAGGCAGAGTTCAAAGACGTAGGCATAGTAGGACCAGAGCACGACGAGGACAATAACGAGCACTGGCACCCAGGACAGTACCCGGCGGCAGCACCGCAACCCCCCGGTTAGAGCCATCTTCCAACCCCGCCGCATCTTCGGCTCGAGGATCGACCGAGCAGGCCTGCTGGCGCTGGGTCGGAACTGCTTGGGCGGTGACTGGGAGGCGGGAAAGAGCGCTGTGCGGCGCTCCACTGCCTAGCCTGGCGGGAACTGCGGGGCCCGCGCCGGCCGATCCCACCTGTGGGGCTGCGCGGCCCAGTGCACTCTGCCTGGCACAATAGACGTGAATCACCGCAAGGAGGAACTGGCCTTGTTGGAGCAGAAGGTGATCCCTCAGGCAGTCGAGGCTGGGCGCTTTCTGAGAGGGTGCGGGCCCTCCCCCTTCTGCCCTCAAACCATCCCCACCCTCACCCCACCCCCATCCCTCCGCCGTGCCGCTGGATGCTGGCTGGGCTGGAGCTCTGCAAAACTAAAGCTTAAGAATTTCAGGTCCGCCCATCCGCTCTCCCTGCTCTGCGTCCACTCACTTCCCTCCGATCTTTGTCCCTCTTTTGTCTCTTTTTGTCCCTCCCCCCCTCACCTATTGTCTCCCTCTCCTTGCTCACCTCCTCCCCCCAGCACACACGGGTACACAGTGTGAAAGATAACCAACCATGGCATCTTTTGACTTAAAGGTCACTGGGCCCCATCCTCCCACTGCTGCTCGAAAAATATGCATAACACGTAGTGCCGCAGTCGCTGCTGGGGTAAGTTGCTTGACTGGGCGCTTATTCCTAGCCCCCTGCAGAATTAGCTGGGTCTATTTTCAGAATCTGAGAGGGGGGTCAGAGAAGTCTACAACAGTAGTGATGCTATTTAAACAGAGCGTTTATTGACGAGTTTTTCAGGCAGATGAGAAGTGGAGGACATTTCAGACAGAATAAACAGCCTTTCCAAAGACAACAAAGTAATGAAAAGTGCAAAAGTGTTCCAGGAACAACTGGTATGGCTTGAATAGAGCATTGGTGGAGGGGAGAGGCTGGGAAGGAGACTGGGGGTGGGGGATAGCCTAAAGCCATGATATGAAGGCTTAGATGCCCAGCACACTTGTGGGGACACAGACTACCAACAGCTATCAAAGGTTTGGGGGAAATGTAGTGACATGGGCTATGTGTTTTTTTTGTAAAGGAATGGGCAGGATTTGAAGAGAAAGATGACCTGGAAGCCTGGAGACGTATTAGGAGCCAATTCAGATGTTTTTGAAAGAAATTGCTTTCTGTTAGCGCAGCTTTGGTATAAAGTTTGGTATAAAATGAATGATATAAAGCAGGGGGCCCAAGAGACTTATCATCTGGGCTATAGGTGTTTACTGACTTAAACACGATAATGGAAGTGCTGTAGGCTCTTGGCCTTTATGTATTTGACACTGCTTCAGTGATCTCCAAAAGTCTGTTTCATGAAGAAATTTGTGGTTTTCTGAGACCTTATGTGGTTTTTTTTCACATCCTTTGTGATTTGCTGGGTGAAAACAAACATTTCTGCAGACAGCATTGTTTTCTCCATGTACAGTTACATATACAGTAAATTTCCTGAAGTGATAAGAATTTAAATTCTTTCCTTTCAGATGAAAAGAACATTACAATTAGTGTTGCTAAAGAGACAATGTAGTTAAATTCAATGTGTATCTGAGATAAGTGTATTGAAAGAGAGCTTTCCCTCCCGCTGGTTCATGCCTCAAATGCCTGCAAAAACCAGGACTGTGTTAAACTGAAGCCAGGAGCCTAGAACTCTCCAATGTGCATCAAAGGAAAAGTGGAATCAGGACCCGAACTCATTCACTCTAATAGGGGATGTGGGCATCCCTGACAGTGTCTTAACTTGTAATGCCAAATGCCTACCCAGCCATAAGATTGTGATACTTAAATCTTCCATTATTCATGAATTTGGGGGCTCTTAGGAACGCATATCTTGGGATTGTTAAGGGTATGTAGTTTAAACCAGGTGGCTTTGAGGAGGCAGTGATGAAATGTGAGAGGGGAAGGCTGAAGTGACATTTGAAAAATGACTAACAGTTCACTGGGAAGACCGGAAGTGGGAGTAGGAGTTAATTGAGCAGGTAGTGGCATTACAGCATATTGAGGCATTGCATGTAACCTTACACTTCTGGAAAATATTAGTCTAACCAAAAAGTGGGAAGGGCTTGGGGCGAAGACAGGAGCTGGAGGGGGGAGGATCAGGAGCAAATGTACTAGTGTTTTAGGGAATCAGCAGAATTGCTGACTAGTTAGTAGACAGCAAAGGAGACGAGTCAAAGCTAACAACTGAATTTCTAGCTTCAGTGCCTTGAATGAAAATGCTATTAGTCATTGACTGTGGCTATGGTGAGAACAGGTTTGCAAGGGGAAGGTAATGACTTTTTTTGGACATGGTGAATTTACCTAAATCCTATTCTAAGATAATTTGGGGATATTAAAAAGTCTGAGGGGTCAGAGTTGGAACGTAGAGTGAAAAACTGCTGCCTGCATCCTATATGGATGCCAGTTTGAGTCCCAGCTATTCCACTTCTGATACAGCTCCTTGCTAGTGGCCTGGGAAAGTAGCAGAAGATGCCCCAAGTGCTTGAGCCCCTACCACCTGTGTGAGAGACCCAGATGCAGTTCCTGACTTCTGGTTTTGCCTGGCCCAGCTCTGCCTCTTGCAACCATCTGAGGAATAAACCTGTAGATGGAAGATTTTCTCTCTTACTCTCCCTACCTTCGCCTTTCCTTCTCACTTTCACTCTCCCTCTTCCTCTTCCTTCCTGTGTAACTCTGACTTTCAAATAAATATTTTTGTAAGATAGCTGTATCAGAGTGTTTAGGATAGAGCTAACTCATACCGAGAGTAGCATATACGGCGAAGAACCAGAGAGTCAAACCAAGTTCAAATGTGTATAAGAAGGGTTGACAAACTATGCTCATGGGGAAAATTTGATCCACTGACTTATGGATAAAGTTTTATTGGAATACATTGGTGTCCATTTATTTGCATGTAGTTTGTGGCTGTTTTGTACAATAATAGCAGAGTTGAATAGTTGTAATATAGACCATATGACCTACAAAGTCCAATTTTTCAAAATTAGAGAAAAAAATAAAAATACAAGCATGCCCATTCCTTTTTATTAACTCCCTAAATATTGGATGACTGTGTCTGCTGGAGCGAACACCAAGAGCTGGGAATTCAAGTCTTCCACAAAGATGGTAGTAACTCAATTACTTGAGCCATAATCAGTACCTCTCAGGATCTACATTGGCAGAAACTGGAGTCAGGAGTTAGAGTTGGTAATCAAACTCAAGAGCTCCAGTATGGAACGTAGATGTCTTAACAGCTAGGCTAAATGCGCAGTCCCAATTATTTTGCTTTTGAGGACCTTACTTACTACAGAATTATAGATTAGCAGCAAAATTGAAAGGAAGGTTCAGAGATTTCCCATATAACCCCTGCCTCTACACATCGTTGCCTTCCGCCTTATCATCTCTCACCAGAGCAGTGTATTTGTTACAGTTGATGAGTCTACACTGATAAATCTTTATCATCCAAAGTCCATGGTTAACGTTAGCATTCTCTCGTAGTATAATGGAGCCTTATGGATTTGGACAAATATATGATGGCATGTATCTACCGTTACAGTATCTTAACTATTACAAGCGTTCCAAAAATCTTCTGTGCTCCATCTATTCATTTTTCTCATCACCCCCATTCCTGAGCAATTACTGATTTTTAAGATGTATTCAGTTTTGCTTTTACAGAATGTTGCATAACTTGAATCACATAGTATAACTGCCTTTTCAGATTGGTTTGTTTCACTTGATAATATTTAAGATCCGTTTATATCTTTGTACAGATTGATAGGTTATCCTTTTTAGTGCTAAGTAATAGAAGCATTCCATTGCCTAGATGCACCACAGTATTTATCTACTCACCTACTAAGGTATATCTTGGTTACTTCCAAGTTTTTGCAATAAGGAATAAAACTTCTATAGACATCCATGTGCAGTATTTTGTGTAGATGTAAGTTTTCAGTTCATTTGAGTAAATACCAAGGAGTGTGAAAGTTGGAATATATAGTAAGAGCATGCTTGGTTTTGTAAGAAATTGCCAAAGTGGGTATACAATTTTGCATTTTCCCTAAAATGAGTGAATTTTCCTATTGTTCCACATCTTTACCAAAATTTGGTGTGGTGAATATTCTGGATTTTGACAATTGTAAAAGGTCTGTAGTGGTATCTTACTGTTCTATTGTGCATTTCCCTGCTACTGTATAATGCAATGTGTTATATAACTTTTCATATGCTAACTTGCTGTTTGAATCTCTACACTGATGAGTTTCAGATCCATGGCCCTTTTTTTTTAGACATTAATTTTCATTTTTATTGTAAAGTCAGATATACACAGAGGAGGAGACACAGAGAGGAAAATCTTCTGTCCGTTGTTTCACTCCCCAAGCTGCCGCAATGGCCGGACCTTTGCTGATCTGGAGTCAGGACCCAGGACCTCTTCCGGGTCTCTCATGCGGGTGCAGGATCCCAAAGCCCTAGGCTGTCCTCAGTTGCCTTTCCAGGCCACAAGCAGGGAGCTGGATGGGAAGCAGGGCTGCCAAGATACAAACTTGTGCCCAAATGGGATCCCATGCATGCACGCCAAGGAATTTAGCTGCTAGTCTATGGCACTGGGTCCCCATGGCTCATTTTTAAGTTCAGATGTTTATACTATTATTGTTGGGATTTAAAGTTAATTTGTATATTTTAAAACACAACTCCTGTTTTTACATATGTCTTTTAGGCAAATATTCTCTTCCAGGATGTGATGTATCATCTTTCTTTTGATAGTGTCTTTCATAGAGAATAGAAGAAATCTTTCATTTAAACAAGTCTAATTTCTTTTTTCATGACTGTGCCTTTGGTCTCTTGTCTAAAAAGTCATTGTCAAGCCCACGATCATCTGTATTACCAAAGATATCATCCTCTAGGGCATTTATGGGTTTCTGTTTTACATTTAGTTTTGTGTTCCATTTTGAGTCAATTTCTAATTTGAATATAAGCTCTGTGTCTAGATCTTCCTTTTTCTTGTATGTGGGTATAAAATTGTTTCATCACTATTTGAAAAAATAATCTTTTCTCCAATGTATTGTGCTCATTCCTTTGTCAAAGATCAGTTGACTATTTCTATGTTTGTATTTCTGGGCTATTTTGAACCATTGAACTATGTATTCTTTTCCCAGTGCCACACTGACTTGATTTACTGTGTTGCTTTATAGGAAATCTTTTTTTTTTCTATTTTATTTTTATTCTTTATTTTTTTTTCTCTATTTTTTTTAAAGATTTATTTTTATTATTTTTTTATTGAAAAGGCAGATATACAGAGAGGAGAGACAGAGAGGAAGATCTTCCATCCGATGATTCACTCCCCAAGTGAGCGCAATGGCCGATGCTATGACGATCCGAAGCCAGGAGCCTCTTCCAGGTCTCCCACGCGGGTGCAGGGTCCCAAGGCTTTGGGCTGTCCTCTGCTGCCCTCCCAGGCCACAGGCAGGGAGCTGGAAGGGAAGCGGGGCTGCTGGGATAGAACCGGCGCCCATATGGGATCCCGGGCGTGCAACGTGAGGACCCTAACCACTTGCACCACCACGCCGGGCCATAGGAAATCTTTTTAAAATATTTTATTTAGTTAGTTTGAAAGACAGACTTACAGAGAGAGAAAGAGAGAGAAATGAATCTTCCCTTCACTG